GTTTATGCCATGAAACTGACTATTTCGAAAAAAATTATATCTTTACTAGCAAATGCTTCATTAGTGAATGCTAGTGTTTCACTAGTGAATGCTTGAAATTGATTATTGCAGAGACTTATACATATACATTCACATCAATTTGCTGCAAGTACCAGCAGGTTTTAAAATTACTGTAAATTTCAACAAATTGAATAATAATAATCAAATACATAAATTTGCTTGTGATTATAATCCATATTACTTTTTTATACAGGGTGTCCCTGAAAAGGATGGACAACGTTTGTTCGCAGGTTCCTTGGATGAAAATAAGACTATTTAGCCTAACTTACCTATATACAAAAGTGCACGCCTGCTGATATATAGCCTTCTAAATATAGAATAGATAACCTAGTTTTTTTTTTCAAATAATTTGAAAACTAGTTTTCTTAGAAACTTCAAATTTGGTACACTTATTTTTTATATAAGCGCAACGTAAATAAAAAATTTGGTGATAATACATATACAGGATGTTCTCTTATTAGTGCCTGTGCGCCACTGACTATCCCTTAATTTTTTTATGTGTACGCCAGTGAGGCTAGAATTTATATTTTTAACAATAAGCACTATTTTATAAGATTTTCTTGTTCTTACAAAATTTTGATATCGTTTATGGATTTCGAGTAAAATTGGCATTTTTTATACATTAAATATAGACAAAAATTCCGATTTGTTAAAGATAATTTATAACTGCAGCCTCAAAGCAGGGAACGATAATGAAAAAAAGTCACATGAAAAAAAATAACCACATTTTTAGTCTTAGTATTTATTATCAATCAATAAAATACAAATCAACACTAATATTTTAAATAAACAATATCAACTAATAATGTAAGATAGTCAACATTAATATTTTAAATAAACCTAAATTGATATTTTAATCACATTAAAATAATATTACAGTAAATGCTCAAAGTGACTTCCTTGTTCGTAAACACAAGTATTAGTTCTTTGAAAATTAAAATGAATTTTATCCAATACATAATTGTGCATTACCTCTCATAATATTTCGTTTCATTGTATTCTTTCCTATTACCTATTCGTTTTCTGTATTTACTGAAAAGTTATAAACGGTGGTCCTCAACGCTCTCCAAAGGAAATAATTACATGGGTTTAGATCCGGGGATCCAGCCATTTTAAAGGGGTATTATTTCCTCTACCTATTCATCTGTTAGGATAGTAACCTTTAATAACTGGTCTTTTAATACTCTATTAACGGAACTTTTTGAAAGCCAATCTCTGCCGCTAAAAGCCTTGTATTTACTTGAGGAATTTCTTCGACCCTTTCCAAAATTTGTTCCTCCAGCTGAATAGTTCCGGCCGTACGTTATCCACGATTTAATGTTACAGGTAAAAAACGTATTGTTTCCCGAAGGCGTCTCTCCGCATTAGCAAATGTTTTGTGATTTGGAATTCTTCGATTGGGAAATCTTTCAGCATATGTTCAAACAGTACCTAGCACAACAATTTCCTTCACAATAACACAAAACTAATAACATATCAGTTTGTTCAGCAAAAGTATAAATTGCAATTAAAAACAAGCTGAGATAAAATCACATCTAGCTTGACACTGAACCTTTTAATTATTGTTATGAATTTGCTTCTTTGTTATATGGCACCTTGTACTAGACTGTTCTAATTATCTTAAACTGATTTTATATTATTTAAAGTGTAAAAATCGCCAATTTTACTCAAAATTCATAAACGATATCAAAATTTTGTAAGAGGCAAAAAATCTTCTAAAATAGAGCTTAATTTTAAAAATTAAAAGTTCGTCGTCATTGGCGTACACACAAAAAAGTTACGGGATAGCCAGTGGCGCACAGGCACTAGAAAGAGAACATCCTGTATATGTATTCTCACCAAATTATATACAAGGTAGGAAAGTACCGATGGTCTATCTGAAGTTACGTGAGAGCGATAAAGTAAGCCATAGAAATCCATGCGATAGAGAAGGATGACTATAATGAAGGCGTCTCATAGTCACCGCCCGATTCGCCCTTCCACAAATAAGATCCACTTCTTATTTGTGGAAGGGCGAAATGGGCGGTGACTATTAGACGCCTTCACTATACCCATCCTTGTCTATTACATGGATTTTTATGGCTTACTTTATCGCTCTCACGTAACTTCAGATAGACCATCGGTACTTTCCTACCCTGTATTTACATTGCCCTTATATAAAAAAATATGTATACCAAATTTACGCCAAATAATAGGCAACCCCATAGTGCATCTCGATTACAATAATTGTGAGGTTTTCGCAAACAATAACAGACCACAAAAGTGGGCATGCACGAGTCTACTTGCCGGACGACCAACCTTCTGAATCCAAAGCCGGAAGGTTAACCTCACAAAATATATGTTAATCTATACTCTCGGCTATAGCATAGGCGTTACTTTTTAATGCTGGATTTTATTCAGTTTTACAGTAAGTGTACCGAAAAGGTAATTGGGGTGGCATCGGCTTTGTTGCCTAAAAAACGAAAGATAAAGCGCAAACGTTCTAAATGGGTAAAACAATGGTTAATAAATCGACAAGTGCATTTCCATATGCATCTAATAAACGAATTACGGCTAGAACCTCACAGTTATAGGACTTATCTGCGTATGGACGAAAATACATACGCAGAATTGCTCGAAATTATTTGTCCCGTACTTAAAAAACAAGATGATATAATAAGATTAGCAATTTTTCCCCATGAACGACTAAGTACAACTTTGAAATATTTAACATTAGGAAGAAACTATAAAAATTTAAAATTCTCAGCACTCAAGCTCTGGGAAGAATAATACCCGAAAACTGCAAAGCATTAAATGCTGTTTTATCTCACTTTCTTTATATTCAGAAACTCTTGGCCTGTCCTCACTCCTCAGGCATACACGTTCCTACTTGTACGCGAAAAGGCAAAATTTCAAGCGCTGGCAGTTTTTCGGAAGAGTTGAGGGCAGGCCTTCCGGCCAATAACTAACGTTACGGTTTGCCTTCCGGTAAACTGCATCGTGTATGCCGGCCTTTACGGTTTGCCTACCGGTTTGGAAACCGGAAGGCTCACCTTCTATGCCGGCCTCAATAATGTACTAATTTTTTCCGTGTGATTAAAATATAACGTAAGTTAAGTAAAAGCCAACTAATTTAATGAAACCTACAATTTAATCAAAGCTAATCACTATTTTCATTTCGAATACGTTTATGCATGATAGATAACTAAGCATATTGGGCACAGAGCACAGATACAGAAAACTTTACGTATCATACACATAAACTATTCCTATGTCTACCTGTACTAAGCCAAGGACATTTAAATAAAGGGGACTATGCATGTCACAGTCTATCTCATATGTGAGTTCCTAGCGGGCAGCCGACCAGAGCACACGTGTTTTGTGAAAGTGTAGTGCAAGGAGCAATTTCTACCTGCCTTTATTAAGGCTACCTGGAAAGAATCCCTTTCTTTCCTTTTAATCACCGACCTAATCCCCGGCTTAAGCATAGACGCCGTCGGCATCTTTGTTACAGCACCTGTGCCGGGGTTATGCCCAGGTAAGTTTTTACTTATTTATCAGTTATTTGCATTACTTTAGAATACATTTCTTTAAAATTGCGACCCCCGACAAACAATATACCAGACAGACAAATACACCAAAAGACACGTACGCCCCCGTGAGGGGGCATCCCCACACGACTAACACTTACACACCTTCCC